ACAACGTATTTGTCTACTTCCAAGCCACTTACCTGATAATCATACAAGAAACACAGGTGGGCAAAAGAACATGCAACTGAAGTATGCAATTACTAGATGCATATACCATAAGATGTAGTTCTAAAAAGTCTACAAGAAAATTCTCTATTTTGAATTTAAAATACCAAAACATAAAATGTAGACACCAATTCCTTGCTGTGACATTACTTTTGCTTCAAGTGATATTATACCAAGAAAAATCTTTGTAAATTCATCCAAATTTAAAGTGGTTTAAATCTAAGGCTGCTAAACCAATAACAAAATTATTACCAGTCAAATCATTTATAGCGCTTTGTGCATCCTACAAAAATTCAAGAAAAATATAAGTCAAAATACCATCATAAAGAGCCTCATTATACCAAAAATCAAGACTTAAAAACCAAAATCAGACCTGTTGATTACGAAATGAAACAAATCCAAATCCCCTTGAACGCCCAGTCTTCTGATCCCACATAACCCTTGCATCTCTAGAGCCACCATAAAAATAAAATTGATGAGCAATGCTAAGTAACCAACTCAATTGTATAGAACACATTAACACAATGTACAACTATCATCTGACATGTGAGGCAGTACAAATAATCTTTTCTATTTGGATGAATAGAAATTGGTTCAAGTTAAAATACAGAAAGTGAATGACAGTTCTACTATGAAATCACAAGAGTAAAAACTTACGAACAAGTGGGGTAGACAGAAAAGCATGCAAACAGCGTAGCATCTGTAACCTCAGGACTCAGATCACCAACAAATATGCTGTAATGACCTGCAAATTAAAAGAAACATGGTATATAAATGAATGTTATCTTAGTCAAAAGTTCCCAAAGGATCAGAGTTGATTCAAACATACATAAATATCAACTTATTTAACTCAGAAATCTGAACCAACCTGATGTATCCTCCCTTTGACCACTAGCATATGCCCAATTCACTTTGATAGGTTGGCCAAATCTGCAAAGCATTGAATTAAAATTTGAATGCAAATTGAAATCAGTTTAACACAAATATCTCCAATCGAAACTAGTGTTCGGTCGGCACGGAAGATTCAAAAGGACTTGGAGTCAGCTAGGAAGGATTAAGGAGAAAAGTGTTCTTACGCAGGAACAAATATAAAATACAAAAAAAACAATTAGATTTGAAAGTCCTAATTAATAGGAGCGAAAAAACATAAACAGTTAAATAGTAAAATTATAAATAAATAAAAAATGAACATTAATTTATATTTAAATGTTAATTTATTTTTTTATTATTATTACAAATTAATGATTACTTTTTATATAAATATTTTATTTATATAAAGTATCTATCAATTTTATCGATAGCTAATTTTTATCGAGGAATTTGTTTAACTATCTTTCTCCTTATCTTTATATTCTAAATAAGTTAAATAGAAGGTTTTAATGAATTTTAATTGCTACTATTTTCTAAGTATGTTTCGTATTAATTTTAATGTTTTTTAAATTTAAATATTTGCTTATATATATATATATATATATAAAAGAAAGGTTGTTCGAGAAAATTTTTATTGTACAAATTACAAATATATGTTAGTTTATTTTATGTTTATTAAATTTTTCATAAGCTAAATTATCCTATACACAAGTTGAAAAAATATTTTGAAGAAGTTAATATAAGATTTTTTTTACAAATTAACTTATGTAACTAACAAAGTATGAGTACAACATAGTTAGTCAATAATCTTATTCTTAAATATGTGGTCTTTGATTTAATATTAATCAAAAGATATATATATATATATATATATAATACATTAATTATTCAAAGAGATTAATTTATGTATAAACTAGTATTAACTTTTGTACTACTCAGTTTGAACATATCAAGACAACCTGTATCGCTCAATTCAAACATGTCGAGCCAACTTGTAACACTCAACTCAGACACACTAAGTTGACCTCACAATCAGGCGCACTCGACACAAGTCCAAAATTGTAACTTACATGAAGACCATGTGATAACACCAACACCATATCTCCGAAAATTTTGAGATATATTTAATAGTAACATAGAAATAATATCTCCATGATCATGTAAATACCTCATAATTATCACACAAAATCATCTCCTAAAATAATGCAATACAACCAACACACATATATAAGACATCATGTATCATTCTAACTTAACTTAATTCTTAACTTAAACTACTTTTTAATGTGAGCATTAGAGTATCTTTGCAGGTGCCCCTTATCGTTGTGGATATCATAGAAGTTAGGACGTCATTTTCGTCGTTGGAGCACTTGTAAGATTCTGATCAAAACATTTGGCAACCCACAGTGGAATCGAAGTGAAACTATCCTTCGACCACACATGGTTTCCACCTGAAACCAAATGATGAACATCGTGACATGGATCTCCATAGCAAATGGCAACACTGTTCCCAAATAGTAGCCTCCTGCCTCCATGATCCCCACAACCCCACCAAAGGAACTTGTGCCAACTACCACCACCACACCATCATCCAATATTGAGCTATTATAACGAATAGAAGCCTGCAAAAGCATAACAAAGAAGCCTTGGTTGCCCTTTGCCAATAGCACAAGTCCGATCATGTGCACTACGAGGAAACAGTTGAAGTTGTACCTCATACATTGCGGCTTCTACAACCCATTCACTCCATATTCCTAGACACCACACAAATATATAGTTTCTTCCCTTCTACACAGCTTGAAACTAGAGGGGCTTATGTACTATCCAACTTGGACATACCGAACCTATCTGTATTGCTTAGCTTGGACATGTTGAGTCAACCTGTATTGCTCATCTCGGACATCTTGAGTCAACCTGTAACACTCAACTTAAATACATTAAGTTGACCTCATAATCAAGCGCGCTTGACACAAGTTGAAAACTGTAACTTACGCGACAACCAAGTGATAACTTCAACACCATATCTTCAAAAATTCTGAGATATATTAAAGAGTAACATAGGAATAATATCTCCACGATTATGGGAATATTCCATAACTATCATGCATAAAATTTTCCTAAAACAATGCAATACAACCAACACACATATATGAAGTATCAGATATCATTCTAACCTAACTTAATTCTTTATCTAAACTTCAATCTTACTTGAACGTGAAAGTATCTTTGCATGTGTTCCCTCTATTATCGTGGATATTGGAGTAATTAAAATGTTATCTTCATCATGAGAGCACTTGCAAGGTTTTAGTAAAAAAAACTTTTACAATAATTTTCAAACTCGAATTAAGTTGAATTGGATTACTTAGCATGTGTTTAGAGGGGCGTTTCAAGTCCCTCAAACCAGCTTTAAAACAAAAGTTACAAATAATTACTTTGTAATTTTGTAATTAAAAAATGAAATTTTTTGTTTGCATAAAAAAAGGGTTCTCAAATACACAGTTACTTCGACACCTCTATCTAAAGGAGCTCTTACTAGCGTTTCTCTTTATGGAAAAAACTTATCATAAAACATGCAGCAGAAGTGTTACTATTATTAGGATGTTGCGCTATGGAAGCCACAACCATGTGACAAGACTATGCACGCCACCTGCTTGTGTCTATGCAAACTGTTACACGCAAGAAACATCAGTGGCCATGTGGACTGTACTCCAAACTCTACACCATTCCAAATTCCAAACCCTAAACACCAATACCTTCTCATGGTGTCTGCCATGCCCACTCCCCCCTTAAACTAGTAATGCTACCTTCACAAGCAAAACATTTTTTTATAGATAATCTATACAATTTTTCTTTTTGCTAAATAAAAATTATCTACACATAGTGCTCAAATGATTGTGGAGCGGGGTAGATTAGTTAACATGCACCACTTTGGTCAATCAATAATATCGTCAAGCCTTTTAATCTTTTGAATCCTTGTTCAAAATAAAAAAGGATAAAATAATTTTTAAAAAATAAATTATTTGCTAGTATATTTTTTTTGTCTCTGTACACATGCATTTTCCACATATTCATTTGTTTGTCTTTTCTAATCAAGTATTGATTTTTAATACTACAACGTTTTGGACATGATCCTATTCTTTATATCAATGACATAACATATTCCTAATGCCTTCGCAATATATGCTTGTCTTATACAAATATAAAGTTGTTTTTAAGTAGATATTCGTAAGCAAAGCAGTAATTGAATTATTTAATAACAACCATTGGTTTATATAAGATATAAAAAAGAAATCAATTATAAGATCTTTGAATACGACTTATACTATAGTCCATGACGACAAATGTTATTTTTACTATTATTATTATTATTATTATTATAAGTTATGATTAAAATTTACATGTCTAAATCTTGAAGTGCCTCAACTTACTCCTCATCAAATTATGTTTATAGCAACTTGGCAATTCCTGGGGGCCACTAATTCGTTGGTGCCTCGATTATTATACATCCTTAAGTTGAATCTTGCGTTACCTGACTAACCTCTTTTCTTTTTGTTTGCTACCGCTCAGAAAACAAAACAAACAAAAGCCAATTTTATTATTCATTATTAAACTTAGAACCGAACAACCTCTTCCCCAAACTCCGTATGTAAGAAAAGTTGCAACCGAAAGCAATAAACAAATGACTGAAACGGGCAATGCTGTTACGTAAGTAAAACATTTTATGAATTGATAACCAAAATGGCAAAATGCATATATTTTTACGCGCAAATGCTCTCGTACGTCCATGAAAATTGTTCTAATTTTATATAGAGAGGATGGGTATTGTACAATGTTGATTTATCTTTCTTTGTATTAATTTTTCCGATATTTGTATACACACTTTAAAAATATTTAATTGAGTAGTAAATACATAATTGTTTGTTTTATTACTGGAATATTTATAGTAACAAGTTATGGAACTTTACATAAAAATAGTGCATTAAATAATTTACGCTTCCCGAAAGATGCGTTGGTATTATTTAAGTCAACCCTTGCGTCTATCAATGTCACTCACATCAGCACACGTAGGAGAAAGTAGATGGTTCCCATTTATAAAGAGAGGATTTTGCAAAAGTTGTAACACAAACACAAGATTTCCATTTGCATTCTCTTGCCATTGCCATTGCCATGGCTGTGGATGAAGAAGCACCCTCCACGAGCCAGCCCCGGCGGAGGGTCCCCCTGCTCCGGCGGCGGAAGGTGCAGACGGTGCGGCTAGGCGGCAAGAAGCCACGGCGGCTACTAAGGTTGTTTCAGCGGATGCGTTTAAGGTGGCTAAAGTTACAATATGCCCGCATGTTGAAGAGGGTTAAGGAGCAGTATCGAAACGTTGTTAAGGAACTTGTGGAGGCTGGACCCACCATTGAAGCGTTTCACCAACGTATTTTCATGGAAAGCACTTTTGCAATCCCTCTTGGGGTTAACCTATCCACCTACCCTTCTCGCTTTGGATCTGATCATCGCCCTCGACCTCTCTTCATGTAATTACATTTCTTTTTATTCTTCTTCTTTTGCCTTTTCTTTACATTCCCTCCACCCAAAACCGCTGCAATTCTCGATTAACTCCTGCTAAATTATGCCATAACATCCATATCTCTATTTTATTTTATGTATTTATATTTTTATGGAAACATAAACTATAAGGAAACCCAACTTCGTAATTAATTAACATCCTTCCATTTCTATTATATATTCTCGAAATAATTCTCTCTTTCGCCGATCCTCTTCCCCCGCTAATAATTCTGCTTTTATTTTTTTCACGAACTTGTGTAAGGGATTAGAAAGTAATTGGCTTCCCTCATCATGTAAATTTTAACCAGCTTTTGACATTTTGTTTCCGGGGATGACGTGATTATTACATGGTTCATGTTTTGGAGCTTCACTTCTTGGTTGATACTTGATATTATGGGAACTCTTTCTAAGATCTGAGCAACTCTGATGCTGATTGAAGAATATTCTCGCCGTAAAAAAAATATATTTGAATGAAAAATGAGTCGCCATATTGTGATGATTTGATTTCGGTGCTTATTTTAAGAGACCAAAATTCCAACCACTCAATTTCATATACTCTGTACATTTCATAAATCTCAAATCGATCATAAGTAACTGTTGTTTGATTATTTTATAACAATTCATTTAAAATATTTTTGTATTCATTATTTTTATTATAAAATATTATTGATTAAAGTCTTATTTATTTTAATTAAGCACGTAGTTGGTAAATTAACATCTCATTAATATTGGGATAATTTTTTTTAAAAGTATAAATTTAGAGTAAATTTAATGTAACCGACTAGTTTAACCAGCTTTTTTAATTTTAGGAAATTAGGTAATTAAGTTTTATAAAAAGGGAAAATATTGTTACTTATTTATTAATTATTCATTTACTTTATAAAAAGAGTAATTGTATATTCGAGTGCATGGATGATGCTGTGAGTTGACTGCCGCATTCTTTGTATGGCAGAGATGATACGGAAGTAAGGATGATGGTTTCCACCGTCATTATAGATGAAATTGGCTTGAAAAAAATATAAATACCTCTTAATTTTATTAAATTTAAGATAAATTTATTTTTTATTTTTTAATTTTAAATAAATTTGATTTTTGTCTAATACTCATTTTTCTTTTTATAAAATCTACAAATATTATCACACAAAATCAATTTACTAGTATTTTTATTAATAAAAATATAATATTAAATTTAATTGATATTATATAACTTTTTTAATTATATATTTTTATATATGTTATTGGTGATTTAAGTAATAAATAAAATTTTTGAAAATTATGAGAAAAAATAATTCTAAATTTGAGAAATCAAACACAAACTTATTTTAAATTTAAGAAATAAAAGTACATTTTAATTTTTTTTTCTTATGCAATTGGCATGAATAAAGGTTACACTTTCCACAAGCAAACTTTTAAAACCTTTATTAAGAGCTAGTTCAATGCAAATAAATATAACCATTATTGTACAACACCCCTTTTAACTAAATTACTTTTCTTAAAAAATTAATTAATTTAGTTAAGAGTATTGAATTTTTAATAAGTTAAATTATTTTTTAAAATTATCTTTAACATTTATTAAATTAACTATTTTTTAATTATTTTCATAATTAATTAATGCTTGAAAAAATAATATGAAATTAATTAAATGAAATAAACATTTATGTGTTTATTTATCTTTTAATCCTAATACTCCTTCTAGACTCATATATATAGGATTGTTAATGAGGTGGGGCTTGTACGAGTAGTAGCTCTGCACTACCTGTCCCGCCTAATAAATATCATCCAAGTACCTATTTTCATATCTGTACAGGTATTCATTAAATAGAAATATGTATGGGTATTTGCGAATATTCGTAGGTATTTACTTTAAAAATATAAATAATTTTAAAAAGTATTTTAATAATAATTTTTATTTATTCTAATAATTTATTTAAAAATAATAATTTAAAAGTCAAAACATAAGTTATTCAAATATTATACACAATTTTATTAATCAAGATTCTTCAATTTAAAAACTAAAATTAATTGTTAAAGTACTTCATTCTCATAAGTTTAAACAAACTTAATAAACTAATTTCACAAATCCAAAATAAGATTTAAAAAATTATAATATTTCAATCTCACAAGTCTAAATAAAAGAAATTTAAATAATATCATATTTTCAGTTAGCACATGATATAAATTTTAACAAATAAATTTAAATAATTTTGTTATAACGGGTATTTAGCAAATATCCACAAAGCGAATATCTTAATATCCTACCTTGTCCTTGTTTATTGATGGATAAAAATATATCCAATTAAATTATCTACAAGTACCCATTTAAGTATCCATTTATTATCCATTACAAATTTTATCTATAGATACCTATGAGTACGAATTGTTTTGATAGCTCTACCTACGTAAGTAAAAATACCTAAATTCACACATATTAAGAAAATTAAAAAACTATTTAAGTTCATTTAATTTTAGACTAAATTATTTATTTGATCACTTTGTAACACTCTATTTTTCGTAAAATATAACATAAGTATTTTATTAATAATTTTGTTTTTTTTTATTCATAAAGGCTATCAAATATTTGTTTTAATTATTTAATATATTTTATAATATATTATATAATATTTTATTAAAGAATAAAATAATATTGTATTTAAAAGGGAAAGGATTTTTGGGATAACTGGGGTTAATATGTTTAACTAAAAGGTTAAAAGGGGATTACGATTTTCAAAAGAGGTGTTTTTTTGATCAAATTCTTTTTACATCTATATTTTCACTCTAGAGTTGCGCACCCCTCATCTAAAGCTTATCTAAGTAAGGAGGAGTGAGAAATCTCGCTCTAAGTGTGAGTTTGTATGTCAAGTAATGGGATTGGCCCCTAATCTTGTATATGTTATGTACCCATGTATGAGGGATTTTTCCTAATATTTCTGCTCTATTCCTTATTCTTCTTACTCGTGATTAATTGCATGAATTGTTTAAATAGATGATTAATTTCACATTTTGGAATGAAAATTGTATGATTTGAGGTTTTTGTGAGTTCCCGTGGAAAACCCTAAGGAAACTTGTTGTGATGATAGTGAAATGATAGTAGTTATATGTGTAAAATGTGTCTTTTAGAAGTGTAACATAATCTATGGAGAGTTCTTTCCAATTGGATAGGGAGAAAAATGTTTGGGTGTGAGTTGTCCCTTGTTCTGAAAATTCTAGTATAAATATACTTTGGTATTTATGTGATTTCTCTATGTATGATTAATGAAATTAAGTTCTAATTGTTGTGTTAGAAAATACACATTTGAGGATACAATTTAGATTTAAGAATCACATAAAAAAGTTAAGGAATGATCGAGTTATGTGAGTTAAAGATGAATCTCATATTTTGTGCGCAAAATGTAACGTGCATACGTTGTAAGCCTTTAGAGTAAACTTAAATAACAGAATTAGGCCTTTGATGTTAACTTTCAAATGTCGTTGAGATCACCTAAACATGAGGTGTAGAACTCAAGTTATGGTCAAATTAGTGAGCAAATGTCAGATTGTCAGATTTAGGCTGAAACATTGCGATTTTGTATTTATTTAAAACAGTAGATGAAATATTTAGCTCTTGAAGTAAACATGGAAGTTGGAAATAATTGTCTTATCTTTTTAATAAAATTAATATCAATGTAATAGCATATATATATATATATATAAGGAAGGATCCTTTTACTCTAGGAGTAAGTTTTCCTAGACTTACTCCGTTCACTCATGTTCTACATCAAATTTCAATGATCCAACTGTTCAATTTAAAGTTCTTAATGTATAGATCAAATCTGCAAATTTTTAGAAAATTTAAAAATCATTTGATACTTCATTTCATTAATTCAAATTGACAGATAATCATAAAATTATTTTATACATTGATTTGAATTAATGAAACGAAGTATCAAATGATTTTCAAATTTTCTAAAAATTTCCATATTTGATCTATTTACTCTTGGAGTAAAAGGATCTCTCCTCTCTCTCTCTCTCTTTATATATATATATATATATGTGTGTGTGTGTGTGTGTGTGTGTGTGTATGTATATATTCATATACTATATATACACATGATATTATAGAAGATTAAGTTATGGAAATGTAGTATGTGAGTGTGCTATTGATATGCTTGTGAGTTATGTATGAGTTGTAGTGATATGATTCCTTATTGATTGCTAATATTTAATTGATATAGTTGAATTGTTAATAGTTATGTTGAGAATGGTAGATAATTTTATGATAATGGGTCAATTAACAATGAATTAATGACATCATGTTAAATGTTACGCATAGAGTCTGTTCGGCATGTATCATGTGTATAAAAGTATTTTTTTTAAAAGGTACAATAGGAAATACACTCTTAGAGATGTTATATTGAGAACCAAAGTATTTTTTTAAAAGCTTGAGAGAGATAAACACTCTCCAAAGTTCTTTGAAGTATAAAAAATGATGGATGAAGTGGTTGATCATTGTTATGCTTATTCTTTTGTTGATGAATGTCATTTTCATCGATTTAATATGTATAAGGTGCTTCAATTTGGAAGGAAAGTGTATCTGAAGTAAAGTTTTTACATAAATTAATGTTAGGTAGCTATTGGGTAAGAGATTTTTTTTGTAATAGGCAACTTTTTCCTTTTCTGTTATAGGTTTCTATTTATTAATATTTGGTCCAATAAGTTTGAAATAGTCAATACATGCATTATTATAATGAACTGATATTATTTTAGTAATAAAATGGAAGGAATATTTTATCTTCAATTGATTACTTTATTTGTTATTGTTTATCTGTTTGATGAAATTGAAATTTCATCAAAGATAAATCTGTTTTACGAATCAAAATAATTTCAATTCAATTTATTATTTATGAATTAAAATGGTATGCTTCCATAATCTAATTCACTTGATATTGTGTTTTTATGAAACAAAATGGTATGAAGTAAAATGGACTAAAATTGTTTCAATTGATATTCTATATTATCAAGTAAGATGGTATCTATTCATAATTTTTTTTATGATTTCAAATGTAGTCAATCTAGAAAAAGACCACTATGATTGTCACTTAACAATTAGAAGAAAAAAAATCACTTATAACTTTTTGACCCATTTGATGCTCTCTTGAAAACGTATTTACTAATAT